TAATCTTATTTTTTTATTTTTTTGAAACACAGTCTTGCTCTGTTGCCCAGGCTAGAGTACAGTGGTGTTATCATAGCTCACTGTAACCTCAAACTCCTGGGATCAAGTGATCCTCCTGCCTCAGTCTCCCAAGTAGCTGGGACTATAGGTGTGTACCACCATGCCTGCCCCCCCCTTTTTTTTAAAAATAAAAAGGAGGATGAAAGATAAACCAGTAGATCTTTCTTATGATTTAAACAAATATTTATCGATCACTTACTATATTCTGAGTTATCAGGTGAAGGAGAGGTAGAGCATGGCTACTACAGGTACAGGAGACTGCAGGGGTAGGGCCCCTGAATACAAAAACAGCATGATGTATAGCTGGAACCAGATCCAGAAGGGTCTTGTCAAGGTGTGCCTTTTTCCTGAAAGGTAGAAAATGTATCCAATATTAGTTCGTTTCTTTAATTTTTATTGTTTTCCTTGTTTTACCCCTATCTCCAGAGGAGTTTGATGCCACCAATTCCTGAGAATCAGGGGCAGGCTTCTGTGGTACCAATTGGTTACTTTCTGCTTTCTTCATTGCTTTCTCAGACCTGCTCAGCTAGCTGTCACTCATTCATCTATTTTCTCAGTTACAAATTTAAACAAGAGCATTTAAATAATTCTCTTCACTGTTGTGTTAATGAGGTAAGAGTGAGATTAATTGCATGTATTCAAACTGCTATCTATACTCAAAAGTCTTACTAGAGGACATTTAACAAAATCTCAGATCAGACAGCAGAAACTAGGAATTCTGCACAGTATCAAGCCAAGATTTTAGTTTAAAGTGGTCCCAGGTTGGTAGTACCGTCAGGTTTCTGAAAGAAGCACTGGAGAGAGGAGTAACTCACTTTCCACCTAGGCCTCAAAAGTATTCCTATAGGTAAAGTTCCAAGGAATATGAGTTCAGAGTCAAATGTTGCCAAATACACTAGGAAATGAAGCAGCAGGAGTAAGAGCCAGAATAAGCAAAAAACAGTGGGAAATACAAAGGCCTCAGATATTGGAATTACATAAGTATGTTTAATATGTTGAAAGAAAAGATGAAGAAAATGAATAAGTGGCCAAGAAATTATAAAAATGAAAAAGCTGTTTTGAAAAAAGACCAAATAGAACTTCTAGAAAAGAAAAATTTTGTAACAGAAAGAAGCTCAAAGACTGGATTAACAGGACATTAAGTACAGCTGAAGGGGGAATTGGTTAATTGGACAATACATCTTAGAAAATTATCCAGAACACAGTACAGTTAGACAAAGCTCCTGAAGGAGAGGTGAAAGAAAATGGTGAAAAGACAATATATAAAGAATTGCTAAGAATTGACCAAAGTTAATGGGGATGCCACGTGTTTCAGAAATTCCAATGAGGCCAAGCAGGTGATAAAAGAAAAAGAAGGTGAAGAAATATATGTGCAGACACAGGATACAAGTTTGATATTTCAGAGTACCAAAACCAAAGAGAATATCATAAAAGCAACCATAGAGAAGACAGGCTACCTAACAAAACAATGATTTGACTGGTAGCTGACTTCTCAACAGCAATAATGGAAGCCAGAAGGCAGTGAAATGTTATCTTCAGTATGCTGAGAGAAAATAGCTATCAATTTAGAATTCATCTTTCAAGAGTGAGGGAAAAATAAAGACTTTTCAATCGAATCAAATAAGTTTGCTACTAATAAATAGACTCTCAATAAAGGAAATTCTAAAGGATAAACTTTAGACATGATAAAATAAATTGTAATAGAAATTAACTTTTTAGCACTAAATAATAATATTACATATAAAACCTATGATATTATACTAAAGAGGCACATGGAAAAAAATTGATAACCCTAAATGCTTACGTTAGAAAAGAAGAAAAGCTAGAAATCAATGAACTAAGCAACCAATTTAAGGTAGCAAAAGAACAAGACAAGCCCAAAGAAAGTAAATGGAAGGACATAAAGAGAATTAATGAAACAGAAAGCAAGCATACAATACAGAAGCTCAAAAAAGTTAAAAGTCAGTTTTTTGAAAACAGTAATATAACTATCAGTAACAAGTGCCAGGTGAGATTAATGAAGGAAAACTTGAGTGGAAAAAAATAATTACACATGCAGAGATTAAGGTGATAGTTAAGAGGGGGGCGTATGAACACCCTTATGCTAATAAATTAGAATATTTAGACAGAATGAATGAATGCCTAGAAAAAACATTTATCAGAATTGACTAAGAATTAGAAAGTTTAAATAGTCCTATAACAATTAAAGAAATGGAATTGTTAATCAAAAATCTTATTTAAGGAAAACTCCTGACCTAAATGGCTCTACTGGGCAAGTTTTTACCTGATATTAAAGAAAAAAAATTTCCCATCTTATTTCAGAGTTTAAATAGGCAGAACACTCTCCAGCTGAATCAAGCACAACAGAGGACCATATGAGAAAGGAAAATCACTTTTCAGTCATATTCATGAATGTAATAATAGTTGCAAAAACCCTAAACAAAACATTAGTCAACTACATCTAACAGATATGAAAACCTGACCAAGTTGAGATTATCCCAGGTCTGCAAGGGTGTTTTAATATTTAAAAACCCATGATGTAATTTACCATTTTAACAAATTGTAAGGAAAAAATCATACCATCACCTCAATGGATGGAGTTGCAGCTTTTAGTTAAAATTCAAAAACAAATTATCCTGAAAAAAGTCTCAGAATAAGAATAGATGGCAATTTTTATCACCTTTTAAAGGGTATCTACAACAAACCTACAGCAAACACTATACTTTATGGTGAACTAGTGAGATCAAGAAAAGACAAGCATGCCAATTATCACCATTTTCATTCAACTTTATAGTAGATGTAAGGCCAGAAAAAAAAATGGTAAAGGTACTAAAAAGAGGAAACAAAACTGCTGTTAATATTTGTATAATGTTTTTTAATATTTGTGATAGGATTTTGAGGGCTTCCCCCCCAAATCTTCTTGGAATTTAATGAGGAAATGACACATATCACCTCTTAAAATAAAAGATTCAGCATGAACGATGGGCATGTGCCTGTGATACTGTTTTGTTGCTTGAAGCTTAATGGTGAGAAACTGATAGAGGATTCCATTTTAAATGGTCTCAACCTTTTACCCCATTTCTCCTTCATATTTGGGGCAATTTCTAATGAACCCAATACATGGTGTTGTAGGTGATATAATTTTATCCAGAGTATATTCAAAAACAGACTCACATATGATCTTTTACAAAAATAGGGCATTCGTCTTTTAAAAAATTAAATACTAGTAAAGAAAGAACTTAATTAGACCTGAGTCGAGATCTAGATCCTGTTTCTAATAACTTTCAAGGCAGTGAGCAGGGTCAGTCTGTCAGTCACAGGGCTCACTCCATTTGTTTCCTATCTCTCAGGGATCACCATCCTTTGTTGCCTGATTTTCTAGTGTCTTGAAAACTGTTGTTTCATGTGTTTTTTTCTGTTTGTTTGTTTTTGGTTGTTTCAAATGGGTGGGCAAATCTGATCTCTGTTACTCCATCTTGGCAGAAGTCAATTTAATTAAATGGCTTATCATTTCTTGTGCAGTCCTCTTTTGTTAATAAAGGGTTGTTTTAACACACACTTTATTCTGGTGCAATTCCTTGGCCTTTCCCTTAGAAGCATGCATAGATTTTGTTTGTTTAATTGTTTCATTTTTTTTTTAAAGTAACTGGTAATTTAAAGGCCCACTGTGAGGACCTGCGGAGTAGGGGCTCTGAGATAGATAATTCCTGAAGGCTTTCAGCATTCTCTCCTGCCACATGCTTTGTTATTGACAGCTGTTCAAGGTGTCACCACCTCTGGAATTTTGACCCACTGATGTGTTTCATAAATTTTAATGAAAGACAGATTGAGAGAAATCATAGATGGGCCCACATGGTTATACTGTATCTGTGAGCTGGATGCAAATGAAAACCTCTGTGACGTTACTCTGAGTTACATTTGTGAAAAGCACCAAACTCCATCTAGCTTGTCTGATCCAGTTGGGGCAATCAAAAATGATTTTCGAAAACTTTCATGTTCTTGGTGCATTGCTATGATTCATTTTTTAAGGCACAGAAAATTGTCCAAATATTAGCATGCATATTGCGGATTTGCAAATAAACACATTTAGTTACATAGACCATGGTGTTTTTCAAGGAGTTCGTGAAGAATGTGGTTTAACTTGCCAGTATATAATGCTAAACTTATTTCTTGTGTGCAATTATGAACTTTATTTATAATTTCATAGCAGCTATTTATTTTCATTGTTAAATTATAATTCAGATGTTTTTGGCTTAACTCAAATATTTTCTATATCTCGCAAAATTAAAAAAAAATTAGACTGATACTTTCTTTCAAAAGATTCTTCAAATGTGGCCAGATTATTTTAGAAGCAGCTTTAGTTATCCCTGATAATAAGGATGAGGAAAAGAAAAAGAAATTGAGATCTTTAAGAATCCCTACATATCACTTTTGGCCTCCTCTGCTGCTGTCAGACCCATTCCCAGGAGCACTTACAGAGCGGCCGGCCGCCTCTTTTGAGTTCTAGCTCCCTTAGTTTCTGCCGCCTGCTCAGTGAGCTGGTGAGCAGTGGTATGGCTGAGAGCTAGGGAGAAATATGAGAGAAAGCAGAGAAGACCCTTTTGGACTTTTGGATTACTTGAAACTAAATAATTAACATTAGAATATTGAAGAATTGATCACCTTTCCCATACGGGGTTCCAGATGTCTTTTCCTTGCTGTTATACTATCTTGATCGTAACAGACCGTATAAATACTTGGATTTGGGGTATGATAAAAATGATAAAGGGATGAGAAATAACATGTACTCTTTTTTTATTAAGCCTTCAGAGGGATTTAAAAAACTTAAACACGTTAAATGCAAATGACATTGCTATTCCTAGTTAACAAGTACAAGAGTTTTTTGTTTTATCTTTCATTTTTGAGAGGTGATCCTTAACAGCATGTGTTTTTCTTTTCAGCTACTAAGTCAGGATTGTTACCCACACCACCTGCGCTCCCTCCGAGACCTTGTCCATCGCAGGTAGGAGACGTGCTTGATTTCTGTAAACTGTTTGGTAGTGGGGAAGTTGTCCTCCCACTGTGCTTCTTTGCAAGGGTTGATTGCCGCAGAACTGGTCCGTCAGATTCCCAAGCTGATACCTGGATGAAGAGAGCAGAGAGTGGTTTAACTTCTCATCCAGCCAACCCCCAAGCCTCATGCGGAAGAGGGAAAGATCCTCACTAGGCCACCAAGCAAACGTGTGCTAGTTCACTCTTGGCTGACGAGGCTTGTGTCTGTTCGTAGAGAGGGAGGAGTAGAAGACGGGGTGTCTCTCCAGTTGGGGATGAAGGAATATGGTTTTCTATATAGCATTGTGCAGTCTGGGTGACTATATGTTTATCAGCATGCTAGGAGCTGTGTTAATTCTACAGAAACTAACAATAAATGGTCATCAACATGGGGTTAGTGCTGTGGTTTCGGCCCACAGTGCTTTCTTTAGGGTGGTATTTTCCCTCAGAACAATAAGTTGAAACAGCAGGAGTGGGAGAATGTGTCAGCAAAATTGGTTTCACTTGCAAATTAATTCTGCCTTATTTATATGTGCTACTATGGCCTTTTTCATCAACACTTTTAGTGGAGTTGAAAATGAGAAGCAGACAGCAAATCCGTGGAGTGTGGTATATGGTATTACAGATCCTTCCTTTCGTTAATTGCTGCCAAAGAAACTTCCTATCTTTAAAGACCCTTTCTGACTTTTGGCAGAAAATGTTGGGAAATTTCTCTGTGGTCAGTCTCGGTTTCTGTCATTGCTCTGGCTGGTTCAGAGCATACGTTTCCATATGGCGCCATCTCAGGACTCGCCAAGGTACTGAAACCACTTGTCCTTCTTTCAGAGAGTTAGATGGTCTTTAGTGTCCACTCAACCTTGAGATGCAAATACCATGAGGTATTGGCTTCCTGCTTCAGTTTGATGGGTAATAAAAAGCCCAGTTCTTCCTGACCTGCATGTAAACAGATGAGAAGTCCTTTTCCAGTACCTAAGATTGGCTTTAAGAGATATTGGCTGACCAGATATTGGCTGACTCAATAACAAGTAGTTATTGAGTCCCTGCTGTATATCTAATGCCAAACTTTAGTTCCACCCTAAGCTTTTTCCTTGGTTATAATTCTACTCATTCAAATTATTAGCTATGTTCATCGAGCATCTGTAATAGAGCAGGTGTTGCACTAAGTGATATCAATGCATTATTTAATCTTCACAAAAACCCTACGAGGTAGGTACAGATAGTAATATGATCCCTTTTTTACAGATAAGGAAATTGGGGCATACAGAGGTAAAGCAAGTCACCCAAGGTGGCATAGCTAGATACTAGTAGAGGCAGCTCCCACCCTGCAGTCCGTCTCTTCAGGGCCCCCCTCTCCCCATCACTGGAGTCCAAGTGTCTGTGTATACAGAAGGATAGCAGATCATTACACTTGCAATTGAGGCTTTGACCATGTCCCCCTAAGGAGGACCTAGAGGAGCTGTGGCTTTTGCTTTGCACCAGCAACAAACCTGGACTTTTTCACCACAACCTGAGCAGGCCTCCTGGAGGCACTTAGCTACTAGGGGCTAGTTTCAAGCCTGGAGCTTGGGAGCCACCTGGATGAATGCATGGAAGACCTGTCTGAAAGGGCTTTTGTAACCAACCTCCTTTCTCTTGCTGTAAAATGACAAGTAGTTGCTTCCTGGTCATGAAATGTGTTGCTGCTATCAGCAGTTCTCATCTCAGCTGCTTGAGGTGGGCTTCCTGCCTGCTTTGGGCCTTAGTCACCAAGGATCTCACAGAGGGACTGGGAATTCTCTAGTTACTGTTAATGAATGAGTCTGCTTCTTTGTCTACCAGATTTCCCATCACAGTGTAAACAGTGAGCCCAGCACTCAGCCCAACCCTCCCGCTCAGCCGCCTAGCTATGGAGATTTCGGACGTCAGGAATAAGTGTGTAAGAAGCATAGGCAGAAAGTTCCTACACTGTTTTCCTCTGCCCATTCCCTCCTTTCGTTCACTGCAAGTGGGACACGTATGTTCAATACGTGAAATCCTGGATAATAAACACATGGTCATATTTAGTCTTTGCGCCATGTCAAATTCCTAATATTGACCCTCGATTAATTTCACTAACCACCTGTATGGGACACCTACATATTCTAGCCTTTCCCAAACTACTTGTGATAAAACGGTTTCTGGGAGATATTAATGGGGCTCTGTGCTAAGACAGATTTGCGGGCTGCTGCCTCTCTACCCGCTCTGGGAGAGTCACAGCACATGTGAGCCCACTAAGGGCTTTGAAGTCCTACAGTAAAGAAAGCCGGTCAATTTGGTTAAAGCTGGCAATTTCCTAGCTTGCGTGACCATTCACCTCTCGATTTATAAAATACCTAATATCCTGAGGGCGTAATGGTTAGGAAACACTATTATACACCAGCCTTAAGGTTTTGCTAAGAACGTTTCCAAACCTTTCTCATCTGTCACCTCATCTCTATGTGATTAAAGTTAAATTTTATATCTTATGCCAGTAGTTTTCCCTAGAAGAGTTGAAAATGAGAGTTTACTGCACAGTACAGGATTTCACATTGTCTGTGTTTCCAGTTTGTCCTGTTTCCTTCCTCGCTTTTCTATCCCTTCTTGCTTAATCTCTCATGAGGTCACTTTTACCACCTCACAGCAAGTTTTATTACAGAGAACTTAAAACACTCTGAATTCTTCTTTTGCTCTGTTAAATTTTTGTGAATGTTCCTTGGAAAGGAACAAAGCCTGACTTGGGAAATGTATCCTATCTATACCTACAGAGACTTTTTATGGTACTGTAGAACCATCACTAGGAGACCTAGGGGAGAAACCAGGAGGCCTGGTATAATTAAAATTGTTATATTTATTAGTACCTCTGAAAGAGATTAAAATAAAGTTTTTGGATTATTTTTGTATTTAAAAATTCCATATTATTTAACTTGATAAATTGGCAAGACTAGATTGTAGTAAACAAGAAAATGTTTTGTTCCCTACAAAGGAGCACTATTTTAAAAACTAAATGGCCAATCAGTAGTGATGAACGTCCAGGTTTTTTTTTTTTTTTAGTTTGAGATCAGGTCTCGCTAGGTTGCCCCAGTTAGCCTCGAACTCCTGGGCCCGGGTGATCCTCCTGCCTCAGCCTCCCAAGTAGCTGGGACTATAGGTGTGCACTATCACACCCAGCTTCCAGGTTTTAAGTATGTGAGAGAAATGAGTTTGTACATTTTCAGATATGTGTACAAAAATATATAAAGATTGTTTCTACATACACCAAAAGTATATCTACTTTTATCAAGTGAGAAAGATGAGGTCTAGGTTTTCAGCATAAAATGCAGTTTAGCTGGCTCATACTTATTCAAGCACCACTGTGATATGAACATCTGGATTAAGTTATACATATGGGGCCCTGGAGTTAGGAAAATAAATTCAGAAAAACATCTTTTCATTTTTCACACTATAGGTAAGATCAAGAAGGACCAAGTGAATGTATAAACAATTAAGTGGCTTATGTTCCACATCTTCCTATGGAAAGACTGAAGACCAGGGCATGGTCTTTTAGCTCAGCTCAGAGAGGTGATATTTTTTTTAAAAAAAGACTGATTCATAGCACAAATAATCAAAAAGCAATTAGTGTAAACTATTTCATATACAGCAATGTTAAAGTGGGAGTTAGTTAAGCTGATTAGCTCACTGTTTGTGTGCATATAAATTAAGTAAAATACAATTTGTGCTTATCCTGGAGGTCAGTTCTCTGCTAAGGGACTGTTTGGTACTTCAGTAGCCAAATCCCTTCAATAGTGTTGATCTCATGCCAAATTTCTTATGGCAATTGTGATAGAGCCAGAGCTTCAGTGTAATTATCTTTAATAAAGAAAAGATTTTTTGGGTATAAGGTATTATCTTTTAAGTTTTTTATTAGCACCACATTTGATGAATTGGGCCTCCCTGTAGACTAATGTGCTCAGAATTTTCCTATTTATACCACTAGTTTCTCACCTTATATATAACAGCAAGTACTCCTCACTGGCAATGTAATGACTGCTAAAATAGAACTGGAGGGTGAAAGCACTATGGAAGAAGCAATTTATTAACACTTGTAAGATATGACAGACCAAGAAGGCTTGCGGAAGGTGTAAGGTGACCAGTGAAATGAGTTTTAAAGAAAAAAAGAGAATTTTTCTTTTAAGCTAGCTGCGGGATACAGAGCTTTGCTGTAGAGAAAAAAAACCAAAGGCAAAGAAACAGGCATGTAAGAGGTCCTGGTGTGTTTGAGGAACTGTCTAAGATTTTGAAAGCCAGATTTTAGAGGAGAGAGATTTAGTGTTCCAGAGGTGGCAGTAAGGAGCAAGCCTCCTGCTCACCTCTAGTCCTGGTGGGGCCAGAGCTGTGGGAGGGAGCCAGCTCCTACCACAAGGGTGTTCTTTCAGGGGAGGGCAGGGTTTTAGTTAGCCTGGTGGTTTCCATCCTTGGCCGCATAATGGAAACATCTGGGAGAGCTTGAAACCTGCCGAGGCCTGGGGCCCACTCCCAGAAATTTTGGCATGGAATGGGGAGGCCTGGCCATCGGGATGTTTAAACCTACCCAGGGATTCTGAAGTGCAGCCAGAGTTGAGAAGCACTGAATTAGGGCAAGAGGAAAGAATGCTCAGAGAAGAGGTTGAGAATATAGGGGATTGTGTTGATGCCATGTCATGAGTTTTTAAAGGGTTCTTGAGTTGGGGAGGGATGGGATTCATGAGGTCAGCTTAGGGGATATTCTCAGACCCTATGGGGACAAGAACCCAGAACGTGAGAGATGGCCTGGGAGTTGGCTTCTTGTGATGGCTGATGTGAACAGGGTGAGAGGGCATGATAGGAAGGTCCTGCTGCAAGGACTAGTCACTGTGTGCCTCAGGTCCTGCGTGCACTGTCGTGAGAGACTAACCATCAACACAGACGGCCTCGAAAAGAAACTAGATCAACCATGGTCCACTCAGCTAATCTCCCGTC